TATTAGTTTCCATTGTTGAATTTCCATTTCTCTTCTTCTTCATTTCCCTCTGCCACCACTCTTTTTTTCGGTCGAGTGAAAAATGATTACAATATCATACACTAGTTGTTGTCTTGCTGGGACAAACAATCAACAGATTGTTGCATCTAAACATTTCGTTGCTAATTCTGCATCAGAGAAAGGGGGTTCACTCGTTAAAGCTGGGGCAGGTTCAACAGAAAGGGAAACTGTGAATGAAGAAAGTGAGAGGCTGATACAGGCGGTCAGTAGGAGGTCAGCAATGGCTTCTGCCATGTCTTTAGCTACAACAGCATTTGGATTTCCTGGAGTGGGATTGGCAGTTGTAAAACAAGGTCTTCTGGCAGGAAGGGTGCCTGGCCTTTCAGAACCAAATGAGCAAGGTTAGATTCATCGTTTGTACTCGTAATCCCACTTTCAAGAACATTATTTAGAATAAAGCAAAAGAAGCATGCTGGTTATCGTCCTCAAGATCTTTTTAGACTGAAAAGGAAGCATAATCAATCTTATGAAGCAAAATGCTTAAATTGTTCTAACATGGATTGAAGAAATTGCATTTTCTTTCTGTTGTCCAAAATTGGTAGACAACGTATATACATGCAGTATTCCTTAAAATTGATAACGTGAAAGATTCTTGGGTGGTTCAAATTCTATAGCTTCGTCCAATGTGAATACATACTCCTTCACTATGTAGAACAATTTCTCAGGCAGGTTGGAGAACTTATCGAAGGCCGGATGACAAGTCAGGAGGGCATGGTGTGGGATGGAGTCCTATCATCCCCTATGCCTTTTCTGTGCCTGATGGCTGGGAAGAGGTAAGCATAAACTCTTCAACAGAGGAGCATTCATAAATATCTCTACGTTTTCATCTTTGAACTCCAATTTCTGAAGCCAAAGCATATTTTTTTCATCGTTTGAGCGGCTTTCTGCTATCTTGTATGATTTCCAATACTTCTTTACTCTTTAGAACAGTCTTCTTTTTACCACAGCTTATCTTGTATACAGGTTCCTGTGTCCATTGCAGATCTAGGAGGCACAGAAATTGATTTGAGATTTGCCAACTCCCAAGAAGGACGTCTCTTTGTAATTGTTGCTCCTGTTAGAAGATTTGCGGACAGTGAGTTTCCCTCCCATCCCTGCCCTCCACCTCCTTTCTTCTTTATAATTCTGAAGCTGGTGCAATTTCTTGGATGTTGTTGCAATATAATAAGCTAACAGAAGGGTCATACAAGCAATAGGCAGACAATTGTGAAGATTTCTGAAACAATGGCTCATTCACATGATAAGCTGTTAAATCAGCTTGATTGCTGATGCAAGTGTTGGTTGTTTTTGGGTGTATAGATATCAGTGATGATGCAAAAATTGAAGAAATTGGAGAACCAGATAAAGTGATTGGGGCTTTTGGGCCGGAAGTGATTGGTGAGAACGTCGAAGGGAAGGTGTTGAGCGCTCAAGTAGCAGAACACTCGGGAAGAAAATACTACCAGTTTGAGTTAGAACCACCTCACATTTTTATCACGGCTACTGCAGCAGGAAATCGCCTTTACTTGTTCAATGTCACTGGAAGTGGTATGGAATTAAGTATTGCTATTGGCACTTCATGCCAGATCTTATCACCCACAACCATGGGATATAATGTGTTATTCTCATTCTACAGGACTTCAATGGAAGAGACACTACAAGGATTTGAAAACGATAGCTGAATCTTTTAGAGTCATATGATTGGAAATCATTCGTGTGTAAAGAGGCAGAACTCCAGTATTCTGATGACCAGAAAGAAGAAAGGAAGCGCATCAACTGGATAGAGAATGATTTACAAGAATCTAGCTTGTGATATACACAACACGGAGGCATAACCTCTGATTTTGCAGCATTAATATATAAAAGTTAGAAGAGTACAATTTTTAGTGTTTTGCCCCGATTCTCACTGAAGTGCAAGGGAGATAAGGCCATATGTTCAAAAAATGGCATGAATGACAATAATTTACGAAATCTACAATTGGAGCTGCTGTTTCACTTGACCGCTCATCTGTGTATGTTGCAAGCCCGGATTAATACTAGTTTCCATGACTTAGAAATTACAGCGCTGCAACCTGCCTTAGGAAAACCTTTATTTGATACAGCCACCCTCATACATTCAGCTTTCTCCCATTTAGGTTGAAAAATCATTTAAAAGTTAGACTACACAATACAGAGGCATAGGCAGAACCTCTAATTGCATTAAATTGGTGTTTCAATAACGTATTTCTATATAATGGATTGTATGCAGTTGGTACTCTCAAAGTCATTCTCTGAACTGCTCAAAGTCCTCGTCATTGATTAAAAAACTAGCAAGGCCAGTATCTACTCTGGTCCACTCGTTTGATTTGGTTAAAGATGTCAACTGGTCTTTAGAGGCGGAATAAAACTACTTTCCGTGCTTTCAAGCATCACAGTGCTACAGCCTGCTGCTTTTTTAGAACCTTTATTAAATAAAGCCACCCTCATTCCTTCAGCTTGCTCCCATTTCTCAGAAGCTGCATAGATACTTGAGAGCAGAACATAGTGAACAGGGTCATCCACGGCAGAGCCACATTTTAATCCGTCTACCTCCTCCAGCATGCGCTCTGCCATATCTGTGTCTCCATGAGTTCGACATGCTCCAAGTAGAGCTCCCAAAATCGTCTCATTTGGTTTTAAGGGCATCTCCTTGATTAGTTTATAGGCCTCTTGTATTCTCCCTGCACGGCCCAAGAGGTCAACTATACACCCATAATGCTTGATGCTCGCTGTCACTCCATATTTCTCCATCTTGGAGAAAATTTCTAAACCTTTTTCAACAAATCCCCCATGCGCACACGCAGATAGAACAGCAAGAAAGGTTATATTGTCAGGCTTCTCACCCCTGCTATCCATTCTGCCAAAAAGCTTAGTAGCTTCCTTACATTGTCCGTGGACTGCAAAACCCAAAATCAGAGCATTCCAAGTTGCCGTAGTTTTGCATGGCATCTCCTCAAAGAGCAATCTAGCATTTATTAGATCCCCACATTTTGCATACATGTCAACCAATCCATTAAGAACAAAGTTATTCAATTGGACCCCTTTCTGGATCGCCATTTCATGCACTTTCTTGCCAACATCCAAGATACCCAACTGAGCACAAGCTGATAATACACTCACCAAAGTAAACTCATCTGGTTCAAACCCCTCACTTTGCATCCTTGTAAATGCATCCAATGCTTCGTCACACAGTCCATTCTGTGCATATCCAGATATCAATGAATTCCAATTCACCAAATTTCTTAACTGCATCCTATCAAAGATTGCCTTTGCTTCTTCAACCTTGCCCTTCTTAAAATAGCCTGAAATCATCGATGACCAAACATAAAAATTCCTCTTTGGCATCATCTCGAAAATTTCATTAGCCGCCTCCATCTCTCCACCGCTAGCATACCCATCAACCATTACAGTCCATGTTACCACAGTTCTCAACTCTTCTGGCACCCTATCAAAAAACTGCCTAGCCATCGCCATATTTCCATTTTTCGCTAGCCCATCAATCATTTGATTCCAAGTCACTGAGGTCCTTAATGCCATTTCTTCAAACAAGAATATTCCAGATTTCAAGTCTCCAACTTTCATGTACCCTCCTATCATTGCATTCCAGGTAGTAACATTTCTCTCAGGCATATTATCGAACATTTTACGCGAATAACTTATTTCGCGACATTTGCCATACATATCCAGCAAAGAAGTCCCTACCATTACATCACCTTCTACCCCTCCTTTAATAGATTCAGCATGTAAAGCTTGGCCAAGGCTAATCATAGATAATGAAGCACAAGCCTTGAGGGCTAAAGGGATTGCACCCAGGATAATGTTTCCTACTCCACGATTTCGGTTATAGATCAAAAGGGCTTGTTTTGTTTTCCCTTGAAAGATGCAGTTTTTGATCAAAGAAGACCACTTTGATGATGGGTTCTTGGTGATGTTTGGATGGCCAAAACCAGAACTTTGCCTCAAGTATTTAGTTTCCGTCTCAAAGAGGATTTCTTTCTGGTGATTTTGACGTTTGTTTTGGGTTCCAACTTCAGAAAACCTCGTAGTTTCTGATGGGTTTTGGAGAAATGTTGCTGTTTTTTGCATACTGCGTACTCATTTGAATTGATAATATGGAATGGAGGGAATTGTAAGCTTTTATAGGCCCTTGAACCAAGAACTTGACCCTTCTGGAGTGTGACAATTTCTGGTTTTGCTTTCGGGTTGTTTTTCTCAATTAATTGGTAAAATTATTTCAAACTTGCTTCAATATTACTCTATTCTGTTAGTTGGGAAATGAAATAAAGGGATTAAAAAACATTGGTTATATATGTTGATTTGGGATTTATGTATTGAATATTATCCCAAATAATATTTCACTTGCATCATAAACACATTTTTTAATTCACCTTTTTATCTCACATACATCACATCACAAAAAGTGCTACAATAATTATTCCAAATAATATTTCAAATAATACCCTATCCAAACAACTAATACGATTTTAAGCAATAGAAATAAATTAAAAGATGATTTACTTTTTTTATTTTTAAAATTTTCATATTTTTGCTTATCGTTTAAAAATATTTCATGATATTTCGTCGTTAGGTGGACTCATTTATAAATAATTTAGCAATACAAAATCATTTGAAAGCACGATTATTTTTATTTAAAAGATAATCAATTCTTGGAGAAATGATTTTAAAAAATGTGTTAATCTTTGATAAGTATTCCTAGCAAGTTTTTTTTAAATATAAAAGAATTTCTAGAAAATTGTTTTGGCTTAAAAATATTTTTAAATAAAGTTTAAATGTATAATACATTCTAAGTTTTAACAAATGTTACCTTACGAGAATGGGAGGAAATGAAGGAGATCACTGAGAACCGGGTCAATATGCGGACTCTATTTGGGTAAAAATATCGAAGGACTGGGCCAAATGTGGATCCTACCGGGTAATAAGAGAAATCGGGTCAAATTAAAAAACGTCTCCCCTTTGCAATCGAACCCTAGCCTCTCTCAAACAATTTTTTCTCCTCTCTAGCCACTAGATTTCCTTCTCCAACGTGGTTTCCGGCAGCCGGCGTTGCCAATTTTAGAGAAAGGACGATGGGAAGTGCAAAATCAAAACGAATTGCTCTTTTTTGGCATAGGTTTGCTCCCTTGGAGACTTTCAGTTCCCTACCCCCCCCCGGGGGTCCTTTTTTTAAATTCTGTTGCTTTTCTTCTGTTTCCATGGGCATAGGAATTGGTTTTTTCCTGTTCATTCAAGAGATTTATACTTATTATTGTTTTGTATTCAGGTAAACTGATTTTTTTTTTCGCTTTGGTGTTGTGAGTAGACTATGTTAGTACCATTCCAAGCTGTTCAATATCTCAAACCGTTTGATGGTGATGATTTTCGTGGTTTTACCCGTAATGTAGGTTGATATGTATAGTATTCCTGATTCATCGCCTTAGAAATTTGTATATGGGTCTGCATAGATTTTTATGTCTATTAATCATACATGCATTGGTTGTTTAAGGAGATGAATTTTGACTTGTTCTGTATCTGCTCAAGCTAACTTAAGTTACCTTCATTAAGCATTAAAGTCACAGCTAATCTTGATCTTACCAACATTTAATTGATATATTCTTTGAATTTTCCGATTTACAACCATGCAAGCAAGTTTAAGATTCTTAATACTACATGACCATCGGGAGTAAAACGGGGATGATCGGAATCCTTTTAGAATATTATTAAATTAGCAGTTTAGCCTTAGGAAGATATTTGTCATTATGACTAAGATACAGAAAAGAACTTAACTTCATCAGTTTAGTCCAGATATAGGAACCAACCATATGTGATGTGACATCACATTGTGTAATCTACATGGAAAGATATGTGAAATTCTTGAAACTTCTAACTAACTCATGACATCTATAAAGTTGAGATGTTTGTGATGTTAAATAACCAAACTGACAATTATTTATCGTTTATAAGGGTATTGCAGGTTGGATTTCTATAAGTTATCTATGGTTGTATTTTGTCCAGCGGACTCTTGAATTTGCTTTGCCTCAATCTCATTTTATGTAATTTCGACCATGGCAACTGTAAGACGTTTGAGTTTCGACAAAAATTCAGCAATGTTACTGCAAAATGAGATTTCTTTGTTAAAATGTGGTTGTACATGCTATTGTTGATCAGATGCCAATGACAAGTTTCTAGAGCGTGTGCAAAAAATTGAATGTGAATGCAGTGTTCCAAGAAGATAGGTATGTGACGGAGTCATATTGAAGGACATGGTTCTCTTCCCTTAGTAGAATCCTCTGTCCTAATGTAATCGAATGCGCTAAGAAGATGTATTACTCGCAGATAGAGCCTCCGAAGTGTAAATGTTGGAGGCATAATTGAGCAGCCAATGTATTGAAAAATTTCTTTTGTGGCCTTGCTGCCGTCGACTAGGATATGGTTATAGCTCTGTAATAGCAAATGATTCAGTAATAAAAAGCATTACTATTATGCATAGAAAGGTTGTACCCTTTATCTATTTTCAACCTTTTAACTATGAAATAGTTCAAATAAACTGCCTTATATGCAGCAGTTGCAACTACAAAGGTTACTTTTCATTCTTTTGTTTCTCCAAAAAGCAAAGAAACCATAACTCAGTTGATATTTTACCATAAATTTATGAGGTAGTGGATTTTGATGTAATTTCAGATTATTAGGCCTTTTTTTGGAATAAAGAGAGCTAAATTTTGGTGAATTTTGCAACTTTTTATTTCTTTTGAATTCTTTGGGTTAACATGTTGGTTATTTTTCAGTTTTATTAATACATTACTTGTTTCAATTTTATGGAGTTTGAGGATTCAAGCTTGCTTTTGAACTTAGTTTTGTAACAATGCAATTCTCTTACCAGCTTAGACACGATAGAATTGTTTACATAATCAATTGAATTGTCAATGTTGTCCACCATTTAGAACCTAACCATGGTTGTCCACTATAATTAAAGTAAATTAAAATACAATACAATTGTTAGGCAATTTTAAGAGTGAGAATCATCATTCATCAAAGTTCGGCTTCAACAAAATTGATTATGATTGATTTAAGATGAGTTCTTTTTATCTTTTCATGTTTTCCTATCCCATTTTTTTCACAAAATCCATGATTCAGAAAAAGAATTACTTTCCGTGGAATTCTTTTCCATTTCCCTACTACTTTCCTTTGTTTACCAAACAAGAGAAAGGATTAGGTTTCTACAAGGAATTCACTTTCCATTTCCTCACTGCTTTCTTGGAACCAAACAGGGCCTTAGTTCTTGGTGGCATTTGGGGAAAAAGTAAGTAGCGTTAGTGCTTGATAATGCATGGTGCAGGATCAAAGTCTTTTATTGTTTGAATGGTGCATACGTGTTGTGGGCTTTTTATATGGCTACTAGTTTTACTTGGTAGTCATGACCACTTGCTGCAAATTATCCATATATTTGTGCTTCCGAATCTGTAATTCCTCGGGTGGTCGACTGAATGGCGGCATGCAGGACACAGATTCTGCTTCTGTGTTTCATAATAATAGTTAAACTGCTTATGTTTGCAGTGAATGTGTTCAATTAATTCATTTATTCTTCACTTTATTATTATATTATTATATTACCTTGCATTGCTCCAATGTTTCCCACCCTAAATCCAGTATGTGCTTGTATCTGGCACTTGCTTATCTTTTAGAACTTGACGATGATGATTAGACTTGTGATTTTGGTGGCTACATGTGTTTCTTTATTGATTGAACTAGACAACTACTTCTAGAATGGGTAAGTGAATTGATTAGATATTGGAGTTTTGTTAACTGTAAGTGAGGACACTATGATCCAAGGACTTACAGAATATGAAAAAGCAGTAGTAGTTTTTCACACCCAAGTTTTAATGTGGAAAAATATTGTCTTGTGAACCCATCTTAAGGAAGGTTCTGATTATCCCGTGGAACAATTATGATTAGTTTTTGATACTGGTGGGATTTAACTAATTGCTTTTCAACTATTGATGCAAAGTAAGATGACTAACAAACACACCCTACTTGACATGGCTATCTAATTGATACATGCAAAGAAACTAGTATACGATGACTTTTCCTTAATCTTCTTCTTGCTATTTTTGTTTATTTGCCCTTATGATGTTGTATTGACAATCATATTATAGATAAACTTTGAGGGCGCATAATTATACTTCCATTGGAGATACTTTAAAATCAGAATGGATAACTTACATCCAGAGATGAAGGTTAAGAGAATAGTTTGGAAAAGCAGCAGCAGGGAAAGATTTGCGAATGAAGTTAATGATGACCATGATAGTTCTTCAAGAACATCTCAGGATGATGCGAAAAAGAGCCACTGTTGTGATCGTTCACCTCTTACTGCAGTCCCTAGGACTCGGGATTCTGATGAACTTGAAAATCATGATGCATCGATGAACTTCCAATATGATCTGCAGAACCAGCTTCTTTGTGATCCTCAGACATCCATGTTACAAACAAACAATTCACTGTATGGACCTTGTATGATGCCCCTTCTTCCCATTCCCAATATGCAAGAACGTAGCTCAGATTTGCGTGTCATCTTGAATGGAGCAGCAAATAGAGGAGGAATCGGGCCACCCGTAGGAGCTGTAGATATTGGTGTTAGCAAGTCAGCATATTACTTTTGTGTCGCCCTACCTGGAGTAAAGAAAGATCCTGGTATAAATAGCTCTGCCTCTTTATTTTCCACATCTTGCTTGTGCCAATGTCCAACTTAGTTACATCCGTCTGCACTAATTGTTGTTATTCAAATACTCCATGCGTTAAAAACTAGGAACACAATACTTGTCAAATTTGACATTGAGAATGGTTTCACTGCAGGTGAATTTAGCTGTGAGGTCGAACGCGATGGAAATGTTCATGTGCGAGGGGTGACAACAACTGGTGCAAGAACTGTTTCGAGGAATTCTCAAGTCTATGGAATGAAGTTTCAGCAACAATGCCCCCCTGGACCCTTTACTCTTTCCTTCAGTCTTCCAGGACCAGTTGATCCGCGACTTTTTTCTCCCAACTTTAGATCTGACGGCATTTTTGAAGGTGTCGTAGTAAAAAGTGAAAGAGACTTTAGTATGAACAAGTAGGAACAATCTTGTCCACCAAGAGTAGAGCAATGGCTTTTGCCCTTTCTTATTTTGTTCTGTTTTTTGTGCTCAAGCACTTTCTGAAGAGCGATCCCACAAAGTTCTTTTGAAAAGAAAACACAACGACCTTGTGCAAAGATTTTAAGCTATTTTCATTTTCTGAATTCTTGTTGACAATCCTGGAAGAATACTTTTTTGAAAATTAAACTAGCTATATGTCGTAATGAAACAAAATTGCTTCATATCATTTAAAATGAACTGAGAACCATTAGTAAAATGCAGATCAGATGATTACTGATAGAATCCAAAATTCAATATACCCTATTTTTTAACTTAAAAAAAAAAAGCCTAATTGCATACAAAAGTTGAGTTCTTCCATCACTGATTCTTCATAAAAAATAAAAACAAACCGTTTTCCTCTCACGTGTAGAGGCTTTCTCTCTCTCTTGGGAAGAGAGCTTTTTTCTCCTTGGTGGGAACTTCAACTTTTGAAAACTTCAAGCAACCAATGAACACTCTTCAAAGTTTGAAATGGAGCTAATTTCCAGATACCAAATTGTCTGCATTTCGGGATCGTAAAGCCAAGCATTCATTGAGCCTTCAGTTTCAGACATCATTAAGAAGGTGCATTGAAGGAAGCTAGAAAAAAGGAGCGGCTTGTTTGGAAAAAAAAAAAAAAAAAAAAAAGAGGAAAAAGGAAGGAAGAAGAAGAGGACAACTGGGTGATAAGGGTAGGAAATAGTGACTCAGCAAGCTCTATCTTCTTAGCAGCAGGTCGGAAACTTCTTCAACTCTATCAAAGGGAGGACGTCTGGTGAAGGTAGCCTAACTGTTCTTCTCTTGCTCTTGTTTTAGGCCTTTCCTGCTCTTGTTTTTTGGTTTCTAGTAGTTCTAGCTCTGTTAGTTAGCTTTGTGTGAGTCTGGAGAAAACGCTACCTTTTCTTTAACCTCTATAGAGCTAGGTGTTAGTGGGTGTCTGGTGGTAAGTGTCAGGGGTGTAGTCAGTTTCTCTACTAGGGACAGTATGGAGGAGGATCTGGTGGAAGTGCTGCAGAAATTCGCTCTATCTGAGAAGGAAGTAGGAAGTACCCTTCTTGATCTGGGGGACCTTGATGAAGGAATTATAGAGTGTCAAGATAGCATTATAGGTAAGATAAGGGGGGAGAAGGTTGCTAATTTCACAGGAGCTAAAAATTTTGCTACTATGGCTTGGAGCTACCCTAAAGGTCTTAGAGTAGCTGAGTTAGGACCTAATGTGTTTCAGTTTACTATCCCGGATGCGAAGGAAAGGGAGCGCATTCTGGAAGGAGGTCCCTGGATCATAGATAACCAGATATTAGTGCTTAGGAATTGGGAGGTGGGGATAGAAGAGGATGGAGAGGCTTTTAGTGTAGCCCCTGTTTGGGTGCAAGTGTGGAACTTACCCATACACTGTCTGTCTAAGGCAGTAGGAAAGAAAGTGGGCACCATTTTTCATGAAGTTAAGGAGGTGTTAATCCCTCAATCTGGAGGCAAGGAAGGGAAACATATGAAGCTTCTAGTTCTGATAGATATTACACAGCCTTTGTTGAGGGGAACAACGATCCAGATGAATGGGGTGAATAAATGGCTGTCATTTAAGTACGAAAGATGTCCTGACTTCTGCTATAGTTGTGGTGTTATAGGGCACAGTGAAAAGAATTGTAAGTTCCCAGTGGTGGTGAAAAAAGGGCAATACCAGAATCAGTACGGTCCTTGGATGAGGGTGTTTGGTGGAAGGGGATCTCCTCAGAAGGATAACAGCCAAAAGACTTGGACGCCACACAAACAGGCGTGGAAGATAAGAAATGGGGAAATGATCAGATTAGAGGATATGGAGAAACAGGAGAAAGGAATAGGTCTGAAGGAAAAGGTGGGGATGAGCAGGACAATGGAAGTTAGGGGGAGAGAGGGCCAGATTTTGGAGGAGGAGCAGGGGGGCCTTCCTACTATAGGGAGGGAAAAGGTGGGCAGGATAATACCAAACTGGAGTTCTGGGAAAGACAAGGAGGAGGCGAAAGGGATAAAGGAAGGTATAAAGATCAGTACAGGTCTGGAAGAAGTTAGAATTCTGGAGGCTAGGAATGATGAAGCTACTGATATGGTTAACACTGAGGAGGAAGAGTATGGAAGGATAGGAGAAGGAGAAGGAGGACAAGGAAGGTCTAGTGTAAGTGGAGGATTAGTGCATATGGAAACAGATGAAACCACCAACAAAGAGAACCAAGGAGGATGTAGGATAGAGGGGAAGAGGTTCAGAAGAGTGCTCTCTGGGCCTAGAGAGATTAGAACTCCCCTACTGGAGATTAATGGGACAAAAAGGAAGTTTCAGTTGAGAGATGAAGAAATGGATGAGGTGGAGAACCAGGACCACATAGATAAAAAGATTAGGGGAGATCAGGCTGGAGGGGTAAGTAGGGAGCTGTTTGAAGGGGAAGGGATCAGCCCGCACTGGTCTCCAAAGGACCAATGAGAGCTATGGTGTGGAATTGCCAAGGTGCAGGGAGCCCCTTGACAATTCCCCACTTGAAGGAGGTTAAAAGCCTCCTCTCCCTGAACATGATCTTCCTCAGTGAAACTAAAAACAAAGGTAAGTATATGGAGAAGGTGAAAAGGATCCTGAGTTATGATAACTGTTATGTGATTGAAGCTTTGAACAGGTCTGGAGGTATGTGTCTGATGTGGAATGAGGAAACTAAGGTTAAGGAGATCAAACATTCTGCCTTTACTATTGAAGTGTTGATAGAGGATGAAGAAGTGAAAAAGGATTGGTGGCTGATAGGGATATATGCCAGCTGTGATAACCAGCAGAGAAAAGGACAATGGGAAGTCATCAGTAGGAGGAAAGCTCTGTGGGGGGAAAACTGGCTTATAATGGGGGACTTTAATGACTTATGCTCAAACGAGGAGAAGTGGGGAGGTAGAATTAGGGAGGAGTGGAGCTTTAATGATTTTAGAAACTTCATTCAGGAAAACCAGTTGGTGGATATTGGGTTTGAAGGCAATCCCTGGACATGGAGCAACCAGTGGCAGAATGGAGAGATTAGACAAAGGCTGGATAGAGGTCTTAGTAGTGGAGGATGGAGTAATCTGTTTGAGCACCCAAAGTGCACTCACTTAGAGAGTTTAGCCTCTGACCATAGCATGCTGATTCTGGATACTACCCCAGGGGTAGGGGGAAACAAAAAAAGAAAGAAGTTCTTTTTTGACAAAAGGTGGGTACAGAGAGAGGGAGTAGGAGAGGTGATTGAGAAGGCCTGGAATGAGGAGGTTGGAGGGTCCAGAATGTTTAGAGTTATGAATAAGATTAAGAGGTGTAGAGTTGCTCTTTTGAAGTGGAGGAATGGTTTTATCGATAATACTAGGAAGAGGATTTCTACTTTGAAGCAGCAACTTATTAAGGAGAAAGGTTCAGAGGTTGAAGGTAGAAAGGGAAGAGTAGCTGTCTTGAAGAATCAACTTGTGGGAGCGTATAGGGAAGAGGAGTTATACTGGAGTCAGAAGGCTAGACTTAATTGGCTGCAAGAAGGAGATAAGAATACTAAATTCTTCCATGCAGTGGTAAAGGGGAGAAGGAAAAGGAATAAGATAGGGAATTTGCAGAGAGAGGATGGGTCTTGGACCAAGGATGATAAGGAGGTTGCAGAAGAGATTGCTAGTTTCTATAAGCAGCTTTTTAAATCTTCTAATACTGATGATCTAGAGGAGATTCTGGATGGCATTCCCTGCACTATTACTAGCCAGATTAATGATAACCTTACTAGACCTGTTGAGGAAAATGAGATTAAGGTAGCTGTTTTCTCCATGAACCCCAATAAGGCCCCTGGGCCTGATGGGATGACACCTCTCTTCTTCCAAAAATTCTGGTCTATCGTTAAAGAGGAGGTGGTGAAAGCTATCAGAGCCTTCTTTCACTCAAGCCACATGCTCAGATCCCTGAACCACACCATTATATCTCTTATCCCTAAGATAGATTTGCCCTCTGATATGAAGCATTACAGGCCTATTAGCCTCTGCAATGTCCTATACAAAGTAATCTCTAAGATTCTAGCTAATAGGCTGAAACCTGTCCTGGAACTCTGTATTAGCAAAAACCAGTCAGCCTTCATCCCAAACAGACAGATCTTAGATAACATTATCATTTCGCATGAATGCCTACATTTCCTTAAAAACAAGAGAAAAGGCAAGGATGGCTATACTGCTATTAAATTGGACATGTCTAAAAGCCTATGATAGAGTTGAATGGGATTATCTGAAAGCTGTCATGGAAAGGATGGGGTTCAATCAGGCCTGGATAGCATGGATTATGGAATGTATTAGCTCAGTCTCTTACTCCTTCAATGTCAATGGAGAGACTAAGGAGTATGTGATCCCTTCAAGAGGTATTAGGCAAGGTGACCCTCTGTCACCTTACCTGTTCCTATTATGCTCTGAAGGTCTCTCAAATCTGCTAAGGAAAGTAGCTAGACAGGGTAAGCTAAGTGGATTAAGAATAAGCAGACAAGGACCAGTTATTACTCATTTATTTTTTGCTGATGACACCTTGATATTCTGTAAAGCTGCGGGGGAAGAAGCAAGGACATTGAAAGCAATTCTGAATCAGTATGAGAAAGCATCTGGTCAAGTTATTAATTTGGAAAAATCTGCTATCTGTTTTAGCAAGAACACTAAGGCTGAAGACATGAAGGAAACCTGTGAGTCTCTGGATGGGGTGAGGACAGTGAGCCAAGGTAAATATTTGGGTCTGCCTATGGTGATCACAAGGACAAAAGGTCAGATATTTGCCTACATTAAAGAAAGCATAAAGGCCAGGCTCAACAACTGGAAGAACAAGCTACTAAGTGCAGCAGGGAAAGAGGTGATGTTAAAAATAGTGACAATGGCCATGCCAATATATGCAATGTCTTGCTTCAAGTTACCAGTAACACTTTGCAAAGAAATCACAGGACTGATGGCTAAATACTGGTGGGGTGAAGCAGAAGGGAGAAACAAAATACATTGGTGCTCATGGGACAAGATGATGAAGGCAAAAATGGATGGTGGACTGGGATTCAGAAATTTGATAAGTTTCAACAAGGCGCTACTGGGAAAGCAGATATGGAGGATGCTTAGATTTCCAAACCTACTGGTTAGTAAAATTCTGAAAGCTAAGTACTTTCCTAAAGAGTCCATTTTCAACTGTAAAACCC